TTTTATTTATTACATTTATTTATTGTGTGTGTGTGTGGCCAGCTCAGCCCACCAGGGGGCGGGTCTGGCTGGCATGTGGTGCTGGGGATCGAACCGCGGTCCCTGTGCTTGGCATTGTTTCAAGTAGGTGCTTTAGACCACTGAGCCATCTCTCCAGCCCCAGCAGTGTATTCTTTAACTGGTATAGACATGTACATATTTTCATATACCAAACTGGTGTCTTAAACTATTAAAGGCTTCTACATAGTATCTATTATACTCTGAAAAATAGATAATTAAAAGAAGCCTATTGAGACTTTTCACTGCAATTAAAGATTTATAGATTCTCTCTGTAGTGCTATCAACTTTTACTTCATATAGTTTGAAGCTAATTATAGTTGTCCTTTGGTATCTGTGGATGATTTTTTTGTGTGTGATTAATGATTTTTGTTAGCTCATCTTTAATTGGTTTTAATCTCTGGAAATTTGAAGTGCTTTTCTTCATAGAAGATTTATATATTTATTTGTAGAAGCCTGAGGGGCTGCTAACTGGGGCCCCTTCTGGGGTGCCAGTTTAATACAAGAGTCTCCAGTTTGGCTCATCTCATCTTGCCATTGGCCCAAATCTAATTTTCCATTACAGTGCTGATAATCATATACGCCATTGGGTAATCCCACATTTTGTAAGTATGAAGTACCTGGACTTCATTTTTTTATTTTTATTTTTTGTGCAGGGTCTCCCTACATGGCTTGGACTCATAGTGATCCTCCTGTTTTTTGCCTCCTAGTGCCGGGATTACAGGCATGCACCACCACGCCTGGACTCGGTTGCCAGCTCAGCGTACCTGGAGGCGCGGCCAGGGCGGCACGTGGTACCAGGGATGAAACCTTGGCCCCTGCCATAACTTTGACTTTAAATTCTGTTTTCTTTTTGGCCTCTTGGGGATTTTCCCATAGTTGAAACAAGACCCAGTGTGAAGCAGGAAGACTAAGTACCCAGTCTCCAGGATTCAGTCACCAGAACTTACCCGAGTTCCACGTGGCAATCCCTTCTCACCTGTTCCAGTCTCGCTTCCTCCCTCATTGCATGACTGATCAGGCCAAGTTGATCAATAATTCCCCTGTTGCCAAATTCAGCGTGCTTTTTATTGTTTTTGTTCTCTGGGGATGGAATCTGGGGCTTCCTACATGCTACGCAATGGCTCCATCACTGACCTGTACCCGCAGCGCTAGTGTACATTTTCTGTTACTTTCATAGGTGACTCCCCGATTCCTGAATTCTCCCTTTCTTGAAATCTTTTTTATTTTGAGTGCTACAGATTAAACCCAGGGACTCTCTGCTGCTAAACTACATCCCCAGGCTTTTTAAATTTTGTGATAAGGTCTCACTGAATTGTCCAGGAGGGGGTGGTCTTAGGACCCTCTGATCAGCCTCTGAGTATCTGGTATTACAGGCATGCACCACTGTACTTGACAAACCCTTTTCATTGGTTGCGCAATGCCTTTATCACTTCTGTTTGCTCTTCTACGGGCTGTATCTCTTTAGCCTCCTGGGTGAAGAAGACCTTTTAACATAACTTCACATCATGACATCTTCAGAGATCTAGCTTTAACCCGTATTACTTTCCACTCTACAAATTGTCCTAAAATAATCTTGCCCACTCCCGTGGCCTGGTACCTTGAATTCACATGTGTTTCACACTCCCAAGCTTTTCTATTTGTTTCTCCCTCCACTTAGAATGTATCCTCTCCTCTTAATAAGCCCATCTAATTGTTCTAAAATGAAGTGTAGGCCTGTTCTCTAAGATATCTCTATCCCTAATGTAGATAGGATGACTCTCCCTTATGGTCCCAGAGCACCTTGTATCCACCTCTCTCACTGAATCTTATGCACTATGTTGAAATAATCTGTTAATCTGTCTTTCTCTGTGAGATTGTCTTCTAGGTAGGGGCTGTGGCATGTTACACCAGTATCTAGCACAGGGCCTTGTCATGGTAGATAAAAAGTGTAAATACATTTTTTAAAACCCTGAGTGAATAAATAAATGGTCTTGGAGTGGACAGTTTGAGATCTGGAAAGAAGATATAAGATGGAGAAAGAAGATGGAAAGAGTAGTGAAAATGGAAATAACCAGTATGTCTGAATTTTTCATTTTGTTCTCCTTGCTAGAGGGGAACAAAATTATCATTTCATCAAAACTTTATTGAGCACCCAGTATGTGCTAGGCACTTTGCTAGATGCTGGTAATACAAAGATGAAGATCAAAGTGAAAACCAATACCACACCTTCCTCCCCACCCCCCAATTTAAGGCAGATTTGGCTTGAGCCCGGGAAGAAGGCTGCTGAGGGATTCAGCAGCAGGCCATGGCACGCTCTCATCTCCCGTGTTCGCATCTCTGTGTCTCAGGCTGACCAGCAGGCACCCCTTCGCCAACTCTTACGCCTCTCACACTTGCCTGAGCAGCTTTCCCTGACCTGCGTTATCTAGGATGGGTGAGGCCCCCAGGAAGGCTAAGGAGGCAGTTCAGGCTACCTAGGGGAGCCGCAGGCACTGCTCAGGTGGGCCTGCCCAAGTGTACAGGGACAGACAATGAAGAGGTGCTGTGGGGATGAAGGCAGGGGCACAAATGAGAAATCCTTATGTCCTTGGTGCTTGGGCACAGTGTGCCTCTCTGAGGCTGTGGTGAATGCTGGGGGCCTTGAGTTGCTCCTGGGAAACTCGGACTTACAGATTAGAAGCTGAGGAGGGATGGGGCAAGCAGGATCCCCTGAGGACATTAGGGTGGACGCAGCACAACGTCCAGCGCCTCCTCCAAACTGTTCAGGAGGTGGTTGACTGAGCATGGCCCGGGCTCTCAGTATTTGATGTTAGTATCTTTAGGGAGTCTGCCTTGTCCAGTGGCCTGGGGATCTGAGGGTCTGGGAATGGGGTGTGTGTGTGTGTGTGTGTGTGTGTGTGTGTGTGTGTTTGCCCTGACACCCTAGGGAGCACTAAGCCGCCTCCTCCCCCCATCATTTTTCTGGAAGTTAGAATCTGACTCTACAACTGTCCCGGGATAGTGATTGTTTGAAAGGCTTGTTTTGGAAGGAAGCAGGGTAGAAGGTCCAAGTGTGAGGCCCAAGAGCATTCTCCATCTGATTTAGCCTTCTGGGCCAGGGGAGAGAGTGGCCACACAATTCTCTAAAAAAGTAAGCCCACCCATTTCTTCTTTTCACCAACAAAGACAAGGAATGTTTGGCATGGCATGCTGGCCGCCACCACCCCTGCCACTGAACGAATGAGGCTTTGGGAAAATGCCAAGCAGGGAGGCTTTGCGTTGCCAGGGCCCAGGTGGGGGCAAAGGAATGCGCATGGGCTCCTCCCTCACCACCTTCCTTGTAAGGTCCAGGTCCCAGGGCCGCAAAGGTGCTCTAAGCCACTGCCTTCACAAAGGTTCCTCGGTACTCAGTGGAACCTCTGTACCCCCGTAACTGGCTTTTCCTTAGTGAAACACAGTTTGGACAAGTAGCCTCCCTAATATAGTGTTCGGAGGTCACCAGAACTGGGTGTTGTTTTGGGATAAAAGGAGAGTGGGTGGGAATCATAGAAGTTCTCTAGGAAGAGCACAGAATTGGGGTGGGGGCGGATGGGTAGGTTACTGGTGTTAGTTTCCATAAGACTCTTAGAGATTGAGCCGGAAATTTAATAATCTACACCGTCCTAAGAGCACAACCCATAACTGCTGAGAACACAGCCAGTCAACTCAGAGCAGAAAAAACCTGGTTGCACCACCAGATCAAATTGCTCCTTCGCAGAGGCGACACCCCCGATCTGCTCACGCTCACACACTTGTGCACCCCAATCACCTGCGTCCCAGCCCTGACCTCCCTCACCCTTCGCTGGCAGCACCCCGACTTCCTCCTGACCCTTCGAGCCGCCAGCCCCAGACGCGGATGCCGGAGGCGGCTAGCTCCGGAGCCGGTGTCAGGCGCTGATCTCCACCGAGCCGGCCTCGTCTTGCTCGCGGATTATGTGCACACCCGCAGTCCGCAGTGTGCGCGAGGCGCTACGCGAGCGGCCGGGCGAGCTGGGAGCCCGCGGCGGCGACGAGTGGGTCCGGGCAGTGGTCGGGGAGCACACCGGCGAGCGCGGGTAGCGGCGGGCGGAACGGATGGGCAGCCCTGGGGAGCGGCCGGGCACGGGCGGCGACACGGAGTAGCCAGGAGGCCCGGGTTCCGACGTGCTGCGAGTCTCCGGAGCGGGGTTCTCCTCGGACTCCGGGGAGTCCTGCAAAGGCACGCACCGCGGGGATCAGCAGCCAGCCGGCCCGACGCAGGAGCGCGACCCCCATTAGGGGGCGCCGGGATAGGAGGTGGAGTCGCAGTCTTCCCGCACCGCCAGCCTCCCAGAAGGCGGCGACACCAGTCGCGTTCTCTGATTAAGCCTCACTCAGCAAGGGCCCTGGCAGGTACCAGGTGATCTGTAAAGGCTGACAAGCATTGATTGCTTTGTCACCCCTCTTTCCACCTACACTGGACATGGGGCCTCCCCATTAGCTCGGTTGCTTAAGTGCCTGCTTAAGCAAAGCAGTCAGACTCAGAATTCTGTGGATCAATCCCCAGATCCTCACGCCTTACCAAAGTCTAGATTTCAAATCCAGACTTGCCATTGACTTGTTTAATCCTGTGCAAATCATTTCCTCTCTCTCGGTCTTATTTTCTAATCTCTAAAACAGGGATGACACAAATATCTCACACTGAAAGACAACAATATGGCCCAACTGCTTGACATGCAGAGGAGCTAAGTTTGGGGTGGGGTGCCCCTACCAGAGATACTCACCTTGTCCTTCAAGACATAAAGGGCCATGGGGTTCTTCCGGTCCTGCTCCCCGCTTCTTGGGAGGGTGTCTGCTGCACGGGGGAAAGAATGGGGTGGCAGGCCCAGGGACAGGCCCGGGCCAACAGGCAGCACCTGCACTCTGCTCCCAGGTGGCCATCAAGGTCGTCACAGCCCCTACCACTGTATCTGAACACCCGGGTCCTACCTTGGCTGCCTTCTCCCTGCTCTGCCATCTTTGAGCAGCTGGTGAAGGAAGGGCCCCTTCTGGGCTGGCTCCCTGCTCACCCTCTTCTGCTGTTCCCCAACAGCCCACTGCTCTGAGGGCCCGTGGGCTGGGTTTGTAGGTGCAGGGCACTCACCTTCTGTTTTCAGACGGTCATCATTCTGGTCCATGTATTCTAGGGAATTTTGCTTCTCCAGCTTCCTCTTCTTCCTGCAAATTGATCCAGCCCCACCCCCACCCCAGCAAGAAGAGAGCTAGTAAACGTGAGCAGGAGAAGATCTGGGGAGGAAGACACAGGGAAGGCTTTCGTGGCCATGAAAGAGGCCTTGTGACAGACAGGACGACAAGCTGTACATCGTGAGTGGGTGGTGGTGGTTCACAAGCTTTGGAAGGAGCACATCTAGGTTTGCATCTTGAGGCTGTCACTAGCACTGTGACATCAGCAAGTCCCTTATCCAATCCGAATCTCAATGTCTTTAAGCCGCAAGTAATCGGTCTTAAAAGGTAGTGTGCGCGCTAACCCCAACATCGTTGCTTAGCTCAAAGATGTCTACAAGGGAAACCATTATGAACAGTGCTTGGGTGTCAGAGGCAGTGGGCACAGAACACAGTTCTGTAAAAACCGAAAGACAGATGTCCTGGGGCGAGGTACTGAGCCTGGGGAGGAAAAGTATTTTAAGAGATTGAAAAACAGAATAGAGTTTAGGATGGGGGAGCCCAAGGTGTGGAATTTGAGAAGTTACCTAGACTTTTTGGAGGGTTTCCAACAAGCACAGACCGTCACTAATGTCACAAGGAGGAAGATGCCACCTGTCGACAAGATGATGTAGAGGGAGCTTCTTCCTAGAGAGAGAGAGAGAGAGAGAGAGAGAGAGAGAGAGAGAGAGTGAGAGAGAAGAGAGGGAGAGACAGAGAAAAGGAGGAGGAGGAAGAGCAGGAAGTGGAGAAGAAGAGAGGTGGGAGAGACTTTGTAGTAGGGCGGCAGCCACTGCAAGCAGAGCTGCTGGCTGCAGAAGGAGGACAGGAGTCCCCAGCAGCATGGTGGCCCTGACACACAACCCACTTCCCACCTGTTTCTGTCCTCCGTGGATAGTCACCCCATCCCTGCTTCTTCTCTTGCCCTCCAGGGCCTTTCTAGAATGTCCTTAGTTTCCATAGGCACCTGCCTGTTGGGGTGGGCTGGGAGACTCACTGTACACGGTGATCTTGACAGGCAGGCTGCGGACCTGGCTGATGGGATTCTCCACCACGCAGCTGTAGAGGTCGTCGTCCTCCATGAGCACGCGGGTGATAGTGAGCACCTTTTGGTCGGGGGACAGGAGCATTCTCGAGTCATTGAGGAGGGGCTTGCCATCCTTCAGCCAGGTGTAGCTGGGCTTGGTGCCATTCTCATGGGAGCAGTTCAGGGTGAAGGCCTCGCTGAGCTCCAGCACTGTGGTTGAAGCCACTAACACCTGTGGCCTTGAAATGGGCACTACGTCCCAGAGGTGGAGGAACCTGTGAGTCATGGACTCAGACTTCTCCCTTCCCCTCCACACCCTACCTTCCAGCTCTTCATAGCTCATCTATGGGCTCAGAGACCCTTTGGGGGTCCTCAATCCAGACTTCTCCCATCAACCACTCCATTCACTAGTTATAAGGGCCCAAGCGGAAATGTCTATAAGGGCCATAGGAGAACCTGTACAGAGCAAGAGAGCCGTGGGGTCTGCCTTTGTTGCTTTCTTCCCAAATACCTTTCCATGACCACTGGGCTTTAAGGTTTTACACTGACCCAGTAGAAGACATTTTAATCGGTAGAAACCTCAGTCCAACTGTGCTCAGATCTTAGCATGGTCAGTTGACTGGGCAAGTTCCTCAACCTTTCTGTGCTTTACTTTCCTCATCTGAAAAGTGGGAAGAAAGACATCACCATGCCTATATTATCGCAAGCATTAAATGAGTTGAGATACACAGAGTAGCAGAATAGCTCCCGGCAGGTAAGAAGAACTCTGGCCACATTAGCTGTGCTGCGTGCTACCTTCTGTTATTCACTGGTTAACTCAGGGCCCCAGTCCCATTTTGTTCCAGAAGTGCTCAGTTACATCCCCAACCCTTTTCATTATTTTATTTTGAAACAGGATCTCACTAAGTTGCTCAGGCTGGCCTCGAACTTGTGGTACTCCTGCCTGCTGAGTAGCTGGGCTTTTAGGTGTGCACCTCAGGCCTTGTGTGTTGGTTTTCCCTGGGTCTAGCACACCCTGCCCTGGCCCCAGGTGCCTGTCCACCTCCGTCCCTGCAGAGTGCTTTACCATCCACCGTGAGGTTGATGGTCTTCTCCCCGGTGAAAGTGGCATCCGTGATGGAGATCTCCACCTCATAGGTGCCTTCGTCGGCCAGCTGCAGGTCGCTGAGGAGCAGGGAGCCATTTTCGAAGAGCCGGATGCGGTCTCGATAGTCAGGGCGCAGGTTGCCGATGACCTCTGTGCCAAGGGACTGTACCACAGTAACCGGCTTGTCCCGCTTCAGCTGCCACTTCACCACAGGTTTGTCACTGCTGGTGCTGCTGTACTGCACGGAAAGTAGTGCCGACTTCCCCACTGTGCCATGGATCAAACGCACGGGGCTGGTGATGTTCACCCCCTCTAGGGGGTCTGTGAACAGAGATCCATGGGGAAGAGGGCTGGGTCAGGCCCTCGGCACCTCAGCCCCCTCCCACCCTTAAATCCTCGACTCTCTGAATGCCTCAGCCCATGCCCTTTGGCTCCCAGCCACAAGTTGCTTCCCCCCTACTGGTGCCATCACCTCTCCCAGTAGGGCTGTGCCCTACTCTGCTCTTTGGTCTTGCCCCGCAGCTATCCCATAGCCCTCCTCCTGTCCCCCTGCCTTCTGGTACTATCTCATTGCCTTCTTATTGGAGAAGATTCCACTTAGTCCCCACTCCATTCACAGAAATACTGATGGATCACCCTCTGTGTGCTGCATGCTTTCTTATGGCTTTTAAATAAATCAAGAGCAAAGCAGACAGAAATCTTCATCTCTTGAAGCTTGAAGATAGTTAGACATCAAGGCAAATTGTCAGTTTTCTTCTTGATTAGGTTGGGGTATTAGGAGATGGAGAGAGCATGGGAAGAAAGGTTCTGGAAGGGAAGAATGTGTCGCAAGACAAGGCTAACACAGGGAAAGGTTAAGGACCTGAAGACAGGACCTCTTTCATCAAGAGCCTCCACTATTCTTATCCCACAAAAGCACTGTAACGGGGTAGGAAATCTGGGGAGTTCACCTTAACTGATTCAGTTTGCACTTCTGATAGATGAGGGATCTGACTGAGTAGAACAAAGAATTTAAAGTCAAACAGTCGGGGCCAGGGAGATGGCTCAGTGGAATAAGTGCTTTCCTGGCAAGCGCAAGGACCTGAGTTCAATCCTCGGTTCCATAAATAAATAAATAAATAAATAAATAAATAAATAAAGTCAAACAGTCTTCTTGGGGATAAAGCTCAGTGGCAAAGTGCCTGCCTGGCACACAGAAGTCAAGAGTTCTATTCCCAGTAAATAGATAGATAAATAAATAAATAAAATCAGATGACCTTGTGATCCTGGGGCCTTTCACTTACTGGTTGCGTAGATTTGGGCAAGCAATCTTTCTAAATCTCCTTCTCATTTTTAAATAAGAATAGTAATAATAACTGTCACTGCCTTGTCACACTCATAGGATTTTATCTGGCACAATGTCCAATTCATTGTTGTACAGTAGAAAAGAACACAAGATTGAGCATCAGAGATATGTGCCCTACTGCCGGGCTGTATGACTTAGCAAACCTCACTTACCTGTTTGGGGTTTTGATTGCTCATAGGCAGTATGAGCAGCAGGCTGGACGGCCTCATTGTCCCTTCTAGCTCTGGAAGTCTAGGATATACCACCTTGCCTAATGGATGCCCTGTTCAGAGACACATCTCATATTCCAGGCCTCTTAGGAGCTTTGGGGCCTGAATAGATGCTGTGCATTGGTGTCACCTGGCCAGGGAGAGCTTAGCAACCACTCCAAAGAGGGTCTTCTGGGGAAGATGCCAGTGGGGAACAACGGTGAGCTTAGGTGTGTGATGTGAACACACACACACACACACACACACACACACACACACACGCCAGACTGGCATTCCCTCCAGACCCCTCACCGCTTCCTTGGTCATTGCCTCTGAAGTTCGTTTTGTCTCATTCTTATTTCTCACCTGCTATTGTTGTAGTTTAGAGTTGGGGAAGCCGAGCTATGTGTTCCTTTCCTTATTCCCCTCCTTGGGCCTGAAGAGCCCAGACCAAATCAAGAAATAATTGAACCAAAAGATAGGTCATGGCAGTCAAGACCATTTCAGTTTTGGTCCATGTTCACCACTGTTAGTGAGTGCCTCATCTCGGGCCGCTTGACTATTTCCTCTCTTAGACTCAGTTTCTTCTGTATAATGAAATCATGGAACTTAACAGCTTCTAAATGCTTCCTAACTCTGACTCTCTCATTCATTACTTGGCAGGTCCATTTGAATCATAAAACCTTAACGGTGGAAAAGATGTTGCTAATGATTGCCATATATAAAAATTATTATGATCATTATTTTGTAGTGTGAATTTAACCAGTACCTTAACAGTAAGCTCAGCCCTTTTTAAAATTTTTAAATTTTGAGACAGGGTCTCACTGAGTTGCTAAGTTTCTCAGGTTGGGCTTGACCTTAAGATCCTCCTGCCTCAGCCTCCCAGGCTGCTAGGATTCTAAGCATGTTCTACCTCACCCAGCTAATATCTGAATGTTGTATGCTTGTTGATGGGAAGTCTTAATTGGGGGAAGTAGAGTGAGACAAAGTGATCTTTTTAAACATTGTCTAGTGAAGTTATTTTTCTTCCCAGAAATCTTACATAAAAATGAAAATAACTTAAATATTGTTCCATCTTATCTGCCTTAGTAGAGCCGGTGAGGAGTGGACTCCATCCTCCTCAGTGATTTGAGGCCACGAGGAATCCCTATGGCTCTGTGTATCACAGTGAAATCCATTTGCCCACATGACCCACACGATTTTCCCTCCAATGTTTAATTTCTGTGGTTCTTTAAATAGGATTCCTTGCCTCGCAACTGCTTGGTTCCAGGCTTGACTTAATTTAGAAACCCAAGTTTCAGATTTCCCTAAGTAGGCAAATGGGATTTGAGGTAGTCCTGAGAAAAACAATGAAGCTTCACCAAAGACCACAGAGTGAGAGCTGGGTCTACTGCTCTCCTCAAAATCCAGACTGAAGCAGTGTGGCGTACACATGAGGCTTGTATGTACAGGGCCCTCCTGAAATTCAGAACGTCTATGTAATGCTCTTGCTGTGGTTTAAATATAGTTTGTCCCCCAAAGGTTTATGTGTCGGAAGCTTAGTTCCCAATGTCAATATTAAGAGATGGTGAGACATTCAAGAGGTAGAATTGATTAGATAATGGGGGGGCACTGCCCTAGGATGGGATTAAGGCAATTATCAGGGACCTTGAGTTCATCCTTTTTGTGTGTGTGTGACCAGCTCAGCCTGCCCTGGGGGCAGGGATGACATGGCATGTGGTGCCGGGGATCGAACCATGGTTCCTGCGCTTGCCTAAGCAGACACTTTAGACCGCTGAGCTATC